TCTTTGTAAGATTAAGACTTTAATGGTTTTTTTGGAGGTTTTTTGTGTGGGGGTAGGATGGGTAAAAAAACACATAACATGAGATCTGTCCTCTTAAGAAATTTTTAAGTGTACAGAACAGTAATAACATAAGCACAATGTTGTGCAGCACCTCTCTGGAACTTTCTTATCTTGTATGCCTGAAACTCTATACCCATTGAACAGCACCTCCCCATTTCTTCTTCTCTTCAGCCCCTGGCAACCACCATTCTACTTTCTGTTTCTGAGTTTGACTACTTTAGATACCTCATAATTAACACTCAAGCAGTTATTTGTCCTTCTGTGACCAGCTTATATCCCTTAGCATAATGTCATCAATGTCCATACATGTTGTCACATATGACAGGGTTTTCTTTTTCATAGCTAAATAATATTCCATTGTATTGTGTATGCCACATTTTCTTTATTCATCTGTCAGTGGACATTTAGGTGATAGTTGTTTTAATCAAGACCAATTTCCTTCTTAATGAGTAAATTTACATTTTCTGATTCTACACTAATGTAGGTGTGTTACATTATTAGGGCCATTTAAAAACCCATAGGAATAAGAAAATGATATAATATATTGATACAGATTGCAGCAAAATGGTGTTTATCACATTCTTTTTTATGATACGAAGAAATTAGAAGAGTCTCAGTGTCTAACACCAGAGGAATGGTAAATTTTAGACTTGTATTATTACAGGTCTGTATGCCTAATGGTTAAGAATGTGGATTCTGAAAACAGACTCAAATTTGAATCCTGACTTCACCACTTATTAGCTGTGACTTTGAGAAAAGAACCTTACTTTTTTGTGCCTCAGTTTCCTAATTTATAAAATGAGGATCACAGTATTGATATGATGAAGAAAGGAATTAGAATAGTGCCTGGCATATAATAAGTGCTACGTGTTCACTCTTATGAAATATTGTGTATCCAGTTGAAATGTGACCTCACTGAGACAAGTGTTCATTAGATTCTGCTGTTTTTTTTCTTGATTAGGTAGGGGCATGTGAGTATACAGTATATCATATCACAAATCATCTACTCTAAGAGGATTCATTGGGGGAGAGAGTTGTGTTAGACTTTATAAATGAGAAAAGCTGTACGGCTTCTAAATAATTAGTCTGATTTACCCCCCCCGTGAAAGATTATTTATGTTCTCTGATTAAAATAAAATTGATTGTTCTCTGTTGCCTTTCTCCAAAGTTCATTATCCAAATTATTTTAGGCAATTACTATAACAAAATAAAAGCCTATAAGTATTAGATACTCAAACACACCATTAATTTTCAAAATAAAGCCATGAACAGGAAACTCAGCACTTCTTATAACTATAATCTCTTAGAGCTTGGCTCAAATGTTTGAAGACTAAAACAGTCAATATCAAAGTTTATCAGGCTGTCCAGACTTAAAGTTATAGTAAATCAGATATAAAACATCCCAATCCATTTCACAGATTTTCTTATCTTAAAAAACAACAAAAACAAAAAAACCCATAATCTATTAAATACTTTCAAGTCTTTCAGACACTCATTATAATAGGTAATAATGACAATCTATTTTATTCACTTACTAAATCTTTTTTAAACTGAGGTCCTCTATGTACAAAAAAAAGGTTTTCAGACCAGTTGTTAAATATCTAACAATAAAGGCAGAAACAGTAGAAAATTCAGCTGAACAAAGACTTTCACCATGAAAGTCTCTGCTCTGCCACCAACTAGCTGTTGGAATCTGGCCAAGACACTTAAATCTTTTGGCCTCAACT